CGACTTAGAAGTGCCATGAGAACTTTTAGATTTTACCGCATAATGCTGAAGTGTCCTGTGCTGGTGTTCTGGATCCTCCTCAAATCATATGTTTTTTTTTTTTTAATTGATCCTTTTATTTTGAGGTCATTTTAGATTCATGTGAGATAATTTAGAGAGCTCCCGTGTACTGTTTATCCAGTTCCCCCAGTGGTGACATCTCACCCACCTATAAAGCCATCACGAGCGGATATTGACATGGATGCAGTCAATGTACAGAACGTTTCCATAACCACAAGGATCTCTTGTGTTGCCTTTTTGGAGCCCCTCCCCCGCCCCCCCGACTCTGTTCGTAACCGTTGGCAACCACTGATAAGCTCCCCATTTCTACAATTTTGTCATTTCAGGAATGCTATATAAATGGAACCATACCATTTACAACCTTTTGGGATTGGCAGCATGCCCTGGAGGTTCATCCAGGTGCTGCATGTATCAGTAGTTCCTTTTTATTGCTGAATAGTGTTCCATCGTACGGTCGTACGCCCACAGAGTGTTTAACCGTGTAGTCAGCTGAAGGATGTCTGCACTGTTTGCAGTTTGGAGCAGTTATGAATAATGCTGCTATCAACATTTGCATACAGGTTTTCGTGAACACAAGTTTTCATTTCTCTGGAATAAATGCCCAGGTGTGTAATTGCCAGATCCTATGGTAGTCGCATGTTTATATTTTTACGAAACTCTTTTCCAGAGTAGCTGTACCGTTTTATATTCCACGAGCAGTGATCCGGTTTCTCTGCATCTTCATCAGCGTTGGGCGGTGTTATTTTAGCCATCCTGATAGATGTGTACAAATAGCTCATTGTGGCTTTAACTTGCGGTTCCCCAGTAGCTAATGAAGTTGAACATTGTTTCTGTCCTCTTTGGTGAAATGTCTCTTCATGTCTTCCGCCCATTTTCTAATTAGATTTTTTTATTTTGTTGAGTTTTAAGAGTTCTTGACGTATTCTAGATATTAGTCCATTGTTGAGATGTGGTTGCAAGTCTTTTCTTTCCGTCTGTGGCTTACCTTTTCATCTTTTAAATAAGTCTTTGGTAGAGTAAAAGTTTTTATTTGATGAAGTCCAATTAATCAGTTTTCCCTTTTATAGCTCGTGCTTTTTTTGGTGTTAAGTCTAAGAACTCTTTGTTCTAGATCCTGAAATTTTTCTCCTTTGTTTTTTTTATATTGAACCAGCCTTTCATCCCTGGAATGAATCCGATTTGGTCAGGCTGTAGCTGTATAACTTTTTATATATTGCGAATTATATTAGCTAATATTTTGTTAAGAGTTTCACACCTATATTCATATAGGTTTCTTTTGTGTTGCTGTCTTTGCTTGGTTTTGGACAGGTTAATATTAGCTTTATATGATACATTGAGAAGTATTCCCTCTTCTATTATTTGGAAGAGAATGTATAGTTTGGTGTTAGTTTTTCTTTAAATATTTGGTAGAATTCTCCAGTGACACTATCTGGGTCTGGGGATTTCTTATTTTTCTTTTCTTTTTAGAATACTCACTGGACAGGAAGAGGGACACATCACTTGATGGGGTAGAAGTTTCACTTCCCTGTGGGCCTTCTCTGACACCACCTTGGCAGGGGTGTTGGGGGCACCTTACTGCGTACAGCCTCAGAAGGGCCTAGGTCTGGGCTCTGTCTAGGCTTGGCGGGGTGGGCGTGGGGCCACAGTTTTTCCTGTGGTTTGGTTATAGTACAGTAGCCATTGTCTAAAAATTTTCTCTTTTACGAGGCCGCCCCATTTTTTCCTGGAGATTTTTTGTTTGTTCCTACCCATTGTTGTTTCTGGGTGACCAGTTTCTTCAGCTCAAAATCTGGGCTATTTGAGGCAGAAAGAGACCCAGAGAACTCATCACTTCGTCCTCC